ATTCTTTTCTTTCACTTTACTTTCTATTATTTTTACTTTCTATTATTTTTTTCTTCCTAACCAAAGGGACCCTTAAAAGCCTATTGTTTCCACTTCTTATGCAAAAAGCCTCTGGTTTTTTTCCTCTGTTCGTCAATGGTTTTAGGGTTTGTTTGGATGAATTTTGAGGGAGGGTTTAGATTAACTTTACTAAACCCTTCCAAACTCAAACCCTTATTTACAAAAATAAGATTTAACATTCAATCCAGTCTATACTCATGTTTGGTATGCAATATATATACAAATAGAACCCACATATATATCATAATTATTAACAATTATTTGTCCTATAAATGACTATTTTACTCTTGATTAATCCAATTCATATCCATATTAAGGGGTGCAATTGTCTTTTGAATCTTTAACCCCTTAATACATCTTCCTAAACTCACCCTTTCCCTAGATTTCGTTAAACCCATGATCATGAGTTTAATCTTCGTGCTAGCTCTAGGCCGAATTTGAGAGCCCGGGATTGAATTTTCAATCCAAACATGAGATTTAAGGGACCTTTGGACCATTTTTCCCAAACCTATCTTGTCAAACCCCCATACCCCCTCACCAAATAGCCTCTTAGTGTTAAAAACCAGAAACACTTCTAGAAAAACAATGAAATTGGGAGAAATCTCTACATTTATAGAAGAACAAACTTGGCTATTATATAGCCTTACAGAGCAAGCTGAAACAAAAAATAACTACCCACGATTAACAAATCCTGGCAATGTGGGATGACTAATTCAAACAAACAACCATCCCTTAACAATAGGGACTTATTGACTGAGTGGTAACAAACCACTAAAAACAACCTAACATCTAGAATAACAAAGCCTAACAATTCCTCCCTTAAATTGAATGCTATAAGCACTCAGTTTATATCCATCTCAGAACAGATTCCCAATAGCCCTCACAGCTTCAAGAAAACATCCAGTTTGAGTGGTTTAGTCATCACATCAGCCAACTGTTCCTATGTGCAACAATGCACCAACTCCACAGTACCAGACTTTGTGAGCTCTCTAAGGAAATGGAAATGTACATCGATGTGCTTACTACGACCATGCATTACTGGGTTCGTTGAAAGTTTGATTGCAGAGCTACTATCACAGCGAATAGTAGTTGACTTGCCTCGATTCTGATCCAGCTTTCCCAACACCCTTTTCAACCATACTGCCTGGCATGCACATGAAGCTGCAACGATAAATTCTGCCTCTGTGGTAGATAGACTTACTACTGGTTGCTTTCTTGATGACCAAGATACTGCTCCTAAACTCAATAAAAACACATAACCTGAAGTACTTTTTCTGTCATCCAAATCTCCAGCATAATCACTGTCAGTGTAAGCAACAAGTTCCTCTCCTCCTCCCTTCCTGTAGAAAATTCCAAACTCGGTTGTTCCCTTCAAATATCTCAATACCCTTTTTGCTGCTTGTGAATGAAGCTCAGTAGGATTCTCCATATACCTACTAATAAGACTCATCACAAACATCATGTTTAGTCGAGTAGCTGTGAAATACATGAGACTACCCACAACTTGTTTATAGTAAGTCTTGTCCACCTTAACTCCACCTTCATCCTTCATGAGCTTAAAGCCAAGGACAATAGGATTATGAACAAAATTACTTTTGTCCATTCTAAAACGTTGCAACACCTCCAATGCATACTTCTTCTGACTGATAAAAATGCCATCAAATCTTTGCAAGACTTCAAGACCAAGGAAATACCTCATCTTACCAAGATCTGTCATGTCAAACTCATGCTTCATGGAATTTTTAAATTTTGTAAACATCATTTCATCATTTCCAGTAAAAATGAGATCATCAACGTATAGACTTACAATTAATACTTTGTCTTCTTTTCTTGTCTTGATGAACAAAGTATGCTCGTAGTCACACTTCTCAAAACCTTCCTTCATGAAATAGGCTTCTATACGGCTGTACCAAGCACGTGGGGCTTGCTTAAGCCCATAGAGTGTCTTCTTTAACTTATAAACCTTATGTTCATTTCCCTTTTGCACAACCACAAGGCTGCTCCACAAAGACCTCTTCTTCAACTCACCGTGTAAAAACGCAGACTTCACATCTAGCTGGTAGATGGTCCATCTTCTTTGAGCTGCACGTGCTACCACCAACGAATTGTTTCCATGCGTGCCACAAGTGCAAATACTTCAGTATAGTCTACCCCATGCTGCTGAGTATACCCCTTCGCTACAAGCCTAACCTTGTATTTATCCACTTCTCCATGTTCATTGAATTTAGTCTTATAAATCCATTTCACTCCAATCTTCTTTCCCCCCTCAGGTAACTCCATCAATTCCCATGTGCTATTTTTTTTAATTGCTTCCATTTCCAAATCCATGGCTTTCCTCCATTTCTCACTCTTCACAGCATCTTCAAAGTGAATAGGATCAGTAGCTGCAAACATGGCCAAATGAGCTTCATTATCTTCTTCAGAAAGGCCTTCTCCTGTTTCATAGTCTCTCATCCAGATTGGTGGTCTCCTATTCCTTCCTTCATTCGAGCTAGGAGGTCTTTCTTCGGTCAAAGAATCAGAGGAAAAATTCTCCTCTTCTGCCTCTATATCAGCTTCAAGATCAATTCGCTCCCCTCTTCATTGTCATCAACCATAACTATTTCCTCCTCACAATCACCCCATTCCAAATCGCACACAATGGATTCTTTATAGTTCTTATCCCAATCCCAATTCTTGTCTTCTTCGAATACAACATCCCTACTTATTATGATCCTTTGTGAAGTTGGATCATAGAGTCTATAAGCCTTTGACTCCTCACTAACTCCCAGCAGAACACAACTCAAGCTCTTATCATCCAGTTTAGTTCTTTTACTGTCAAGTACATGAACATGAGAGATACATCCAAAAACTCTAAAATGCTCAACTGATGGCTTGACTCCACTCCAAGCTTCTTCTGGAGCCGTGTTTTGCATTGCCAATGTTGGACTTCGATTCAAGACATGCACCGTTCAGTTGACTGCTTCAGGCCAGAAAGTTTTTGGAATTTTCTTTTTTGAAATCATACTACGAACCATATTCATGATAGTTCTATTCTTTCGTTCTGCAACTCCGTTCTGTTGTGGCGTGTATGCAACTGCCATTTGTCTTCGTATACCATTTACATCACAAAAATCGGTGAACTCTTGTGATGTAAACTCTCCTCCTCGATCAGTACGTAAGGTTCTAATAAACGAGTTTGTTTCCTTCTCAACATGAATCTTAAAACTTTTAAAAACAGTAAAGGCTTCTAATTTCTCTATCAAAAAATAAACCCATATTTTTCTACTAAAGTCATCCGTGAAAGTAATCAAGTACCTTTTCTTGCTGTTAGAGATGGGCTTGATCGGTCCACAAATGTCAGCATGCACTAATTGAAGAAGCTGTGAAGCTCTCCAGGTGCTCTTCCTTGGAAACGAGTACCTTTGTTGCTTTCCTACCAAGCAATCTTTACATAGCCTCAAGGGAGAATTAAGCTGTGGTAAACCATTCACCATCTTCTTCTGCTGAAGGGTCTTTAAGCCCTAAAAGCTCAAGTGTCCATATCTGCAGTGCCAAAGATGAACCATATTTTCTGTAATTGTATTGAAACAAGTAGATGCTATAGGCTGAGATATAGTATGCAGCATGAACATTCGATTCGAAGACATCTTTGTTTCCAAGATTAAGCCTCTCTCAAGATGAAACACTTTCCACTTTCCACTTTGAAACAGAATGGAAAGCCCTTTTTCTTGCAATTGCCCAATACTCAGTAAATTGTTCTTCAGCTCCGGCACATAAAATACTCCTGTGAAGATCTGTACTATTCCATTCACTTGCAGTCGTACATTTCCCTTTCCTGTTACGAACATGCTTGAGTTATTTTCCAGCTTCACAGAATCTCTGAAACTTCCATCAAAATCTGAGAAGTATTCCTTCTTCCCACACATATGAAAGCTACATCTTGAGTCAAGGAACCACATATCTTCTCTATTGTCCTTATTCATATCTACGTAAGCCATCAACAACATCTTTTCTTGAGTCTCAGCATAATTAGCCTCCTTCTCCTTGCTTGGACATTCCCATTGAAAATGCTCTAGCTTGTGACAATTATAGCACTCCACTGTGGCCTTGTCAAAGTTTTGTCTGCCTCAAAGAATCCCATATGTTCTTCGTTGTATTCTTGTTAAGAATCGTCTTCAAGATAGAATGATCTAATGCTTGAAATAGATAGTTCTTTGCTTTCAAATCTTTCAACTTCTGATCTTCAAGGTTCTTCCTTTGGGCATCCGTAAGAACAACACCTTCTACTACTGTAGGAATCCCATTCTCCACCAAGCCCCAGTACTCCTTTGAACTCAAAAAATTTTCCATGAGCATTGCCCAATGATCATAGTGCCCATCAATTTTCAAAACTGCTGGCTGCACAATGAACTCTCTGCCATTATAGAAGACTGCTGCTTCTAATTTTAATCAGGCCCCGTGATGATGCTCTGATACCAAATGTTAAAAACCAGAAACACTTCTAGAAAAACAATGAAATTGGGAGAAATCTCTACATTATTGAAGAACAAACTTGGCTATTATATAGCCTTACAGGGCAAGCTGAAACAAAAAATAACTACCCAAGATTAACAAATCCTGATAATGTGGGATGACTAATTCAAACAAACAACCATCCCTTAACAATAGAAACTTATTGACTAAGTGGTAACAAACCACTAAAAACAACCTAACATCTAGAATAACAAAGCCTAACACATAGGGTTTCCAAATTGTGAATGGTGTCGTTTTGTGTTGCCAGGTTAGAGTCACAATTTTTTTTGGAGTGAGTACTTTAACGATAAGGTTTAATTTTTTCCTTCTAATTTTAAAAAATACAATAATATTATTATATCTATTACATGATACATGATATATAAAAATTCATTGAATAAAAAAAAAATAAAAAATCAATGTATATTTTTCTCTATATGTAATCAAGTTATCAATTATCCATTGATATCCATTTTGTTAAGCAATTGAATTCTCACAATATTCGTTTGTAATTTATTTAACAACCACATGTAATATTTTACTGTCTTTCCACTCAGAACAACATTACTAAAGCAATAACTTTCATACTCATCATTCATCAAGACCAGCAAATCCAACAGATGCCAAATTGGGGTAAAAAAGCATGATAAATGAAAATATATAAGCAACAAAATAGCTGAAGCATTTACAATGAAGCATATGCATTCCCTCTTGAGGTTAATGTCAATAGTTTCTATAATTGAGTTCTGATAAGCATGATGACAGAGCTTCTTTTACTTGGGGATTGTTGGAGTCCATGTCAAGTGCATCTTCATATAGCCTTTTTGCCTGCTGCAGTAACTTCACTTTCTCCTTGCTATTTCTTGGCCGTAGGTAAGATCTTTCCTGCAATGCTGCAGCCCACCGGAAAAGAGCTGCACTCACCCATGTCATCAAAAAAACCAATTAAAATCTACTATATGCTCCAAACTGTATAATCATTCTAGATGTAATAAGAACACAAAATTGTTAAATAGATTCATCAATCGCATCTGGAATATATCCACAGTTTGGTGAATCTCTCCCGTGTGTCTTCACTAGGGCTGAGTACTCATTCCTTTTTTGAAATACTTCCCAGGGATAGTGAGAATACTTGCTCCTTCCACTTTGTGATCCATAAGTTTCTAGGAAAAATGGAGGGTAAGCACACAAATTATTTTGCTCGGTTTTAGGATGATCAATCCGACAATTTTAACATCATCACGTCCCTAGGAAATCTGATAATAATAACTAAATTCCTATCTTACTCTGGTATTTTGGTTGCATCTATACGACAATAACACTGACTTCTAATTTTCAGGGAAAAAAATTATAAAATTACAGTAATTGACAGACAAATAGCTAGGTATCATACCATCAGGTGCATATGTGTTGCTTTTAGACATCATAGCATCAAACTTATCAATTGCAGCCAAGAACACCTTGTCAGCATCAAGAGCTGCTTCCTGTAATATGTCGAAAACGTAAGTTTGGAAATACAACTGCAAAGTTAAACTGAAAAGTGTCAAGCTAGCCTACACAAATAATTTGAGAAAAATTTAAATTATTCAAATAGTGGAAATCTGGAATATTTATTGTAACAAGTAACTGCGACTCGAAAATTTCATTCCTCTGACTGCTTTTCAAAGCAAATTAAGCTTGTATGCGTTCAAAATATATAAGAAAAAACTAGAGCAAGGTAACCGTGAAAAAATTGATGCTTACTGGTCCAACATCAGCAATCAACTGTGCACGGAAGGAGAGGGCAAGACCCCAGTTATACAAGGCTCTCATATCATTCCCATCTATTGACAAGGCCAATCTATATTTTCTTCCAGCCTTAACAAGTAGTCCTTCACATTCTTCACAAACATCAACAAGAATAGATGCAAGATTATCTTTACTCGCGACCTGATCATCCAGTCCACTGAGTACATTGCGCCGTTTCTCAACCGATATGGGTTCACTTCTTGCAAGCACAGATCTCAACTCACGGCTGATCTTTAATTTCAGTTCTCCGTGAAGAAGATAAGTGTTTCCTAACTGCCCTACAGCTAATAAACTCATGGGCTTCAAATCTATGGCCCTTGAGAGTAACTTGGCAGACTTTTGCAATGCATTCTCTGCTTGTCCTTCGTCACCTCTATGCTTCCAACATTCCCTTGCTTGTTTTAGAAAACTATTAGCTTCCATAACATATCTGTTGAATTCCATATCATCTGAGACTCCTGAAGATGGGATGGAACCAAGGTCACTCTCGTAGGTAGACTGACGATCAGCCTGGGCAGGTTCATCAGCAATCACCCCTTCTTTCATAGGAGATCTGTATGTCTCTTTTTCATTCTTTTCAATATTGTAAGATTCCCTGAAATTTCCATTAGTACTGCGAAGCATTTGCTCTTGGCTAAAAGAAGCCTTACTCTTCATATGCTTCATACTGACACTAAAATCAACAGAATCAAGCACATCATCGTGAGATGCCCATGTTTCTACTTCATTGTGATGATCCATATCCCTAGAAAATTGTTGGTTGTTAATTGATCGTAATCTATTACTCTGATAACTATATTCTCGATTGTCCAAAACTCTCTCAGCGCTACTATCCATCACACCTAAATTCATTCTTTCATTTCCAGCAATCTCTTTCATTCTCCTAGACCTATCAAGTAATACTTCAGTTCTGTCCGGCCTCTGATCAGCTTTACTATAAATGTCTCCAGAACCTGTACTTCCATTTCCAATATTAGCATTTGACATAGGATTTGAAGCCCGTTCTTTATTTGATGGAGCTAGAATATTCCCTTGCCTTCTACCATTCACCTCCATATCTGTCAATTCACTCTCACCAAAGTCTTTCACTTTATTAGGCATTGAACCAGCTGATTTTTCTCGAAACAAATCAACAACAAACTGTGACATATAAGTCACAGTCCCATCTACCTCTTTTCTTTTCTTAGTGGACTTTTGCTTTGAAGTTCTTTCCACTTCTTGGTTCTCCACCAAAATAGTCTCAATACAATCTTCAACTACATTTCCAGCACTCAGAACAAACAGCCCAACTGAATCCATCTCCTTAGCATATCTTTCCAAATCACTCACTGTAATTAGATTACAGTCGATACTTCTTTTTATATCATTCTTTAATTTCATTACCTTAACATCAAACCCATTAAACATATCCACCAAATTCCTCAATTTCTCAATTGAATCCCTAAAATTCTCGTCTTTAGACCTTTTCTTAGCCACCATTGAGCTCAACTCATTCAATTTCCCCCCTTTAACAAATCCAATTGAAAACCCAACCGCAAAAACTACTACACAAACTGGAAATATAACTATTGACCAAACTCTAATTCTAGAAACGGTCAAAGCACAAACAAACCCCAATAGATACATAAAGATGTACTTCTTATCACCAATTCCAAGAGAATGCAAGAAATTGTGAAGCTGATTGGACTCACCAGAGTTGACTGAATCAGCACCGAGTTGAGGACAATCCCATCCACCATAATTCAGTGAGCTCGAGGCTGTTGCTGAACATAGAGAAAGAGATTTGGGAGTGCAAAGCCATTTTCTGTCTGAGAAGGTGAGAAAGTTCGAGTTTTCCCGAGAAAGTGATGGAAAGCGGAACACAGAGATTTGAGGTAAGAATTGAGGGTTCAGGTGGCGAATCAGAGGCTTAGAGATTAGGGTTTTCATTTCGGTGGTGATTGGAGTAGATTTGTGGAGAATATGAACGGAACAGTACGAATTACATGGCAACCACCCTCTGGTCTAGCTAACAACCTGAATATTGTTGGTCTGCCTTTGCGTATCTGATTGATTGGGCACTCCGAAATTGGCACCAACGAAACATACTTAGGTTTTGATGTTTTTTTTTAAAAAAATTGAACCGAAGTTGACCACTGCCGGTACCGGAATGTGAGCAGCGAGCTATCAACGTTACAGGTGGAAGTGGAAGTCTTGGATGAGCATGTTTATGGAGCGACTTGTTAACTTATGGGCAAATGACAGTTTACACCCCTGAAAAATTAAAAAAATTTAATGTACCCTCAAAGATCAATTGTTTCAAATTATACCTCTAATTAAATTAATTGATAGCAATGTGACCCAGTCAAATCTTCCATTGTGGTTTTTATCAAATTGAGAATCAAGTGAGATGTACTTAAAAAGAGGAAGGGTTAAAATCTAACAAAAGTTATAACGTACATATCCTGTAACTATTAATTTGATGACAATCGCAATCTCAATCATAACGTCCATGATGATTTTCATTGAATTGACAAACACATGAGAAGCACATGAAAAGGAAAAGCGTTATTATCTGACAAAAATTATCACGTGCATCTAACATAGTTAACAATTTGATAAAAATTACAACGGACATTATGATTGGAGTCTTGATACTAATTAATTTAATTGAGGGTAAAATTTAAAATAATCGATCTTTGAAAGTTTAAATTAAAAGTTTTTAATCTTTCGGGGGTACAAATTGCTATTTATCCTTAATTTATTGCTGTGAAGGAACAAACGGGGTCGGTGGAATAGTTTATCGTGGAGCAGGGGTCGTTTAGATGCTGGCAAGCCAAATCTTTGGGTCCAATCCATGCTGTAAAATGGCATTAGGGGTGTTTATGGCCGGAGTTATCCACGTGTTTAGTAATTTGATCCCAAATTTTATAAGTGTAAGAGTTGATCTGTCCGAGCCAAACTCAATATCCTTTAAAAGAAAGTTTGAATTTCTTCTGAAATTCATTATTCGACCCGAACTCTGCCAAATAGCCCGTCCAAAAAAAAACTGATTAAAATCCAGCCCAGAGTCTTCCGGCCAAGCCCAGTCCACCCATCATTCTTTTAAAAAAAAAAGTTATACAAAGACCATTAAATTTAAAATTTTAATATAAATCTCACAACGCCAGAATTTAAAGTTTTTAAAAATTTAGATAGTATAAATAATGTATTATTTTTTTCTATGTATTAAACATACAAGTTTTAAAGGATAGAATAACATAAATGATAGATAAGTGAGTAGGTATCAACATATATTTATTCTATTAGATGGAATTCATCCTCTAATAAAAAATAAAATTATTTATTATTTTATTTTTATCTATTTTGTCTCTCATTTTAATTCAAAAATATAATTTATACAAATATAAATTATAAAAATATTCATTATTTTTAAATAAATTTGTATATAAAAAATCCGCAAGTAGGCCCACTCAGAAATTCCGTCCAATGTGCTCACAAGTTGGACCGTAGAAATTCTACTCCAACCCGAAGTTCGACCCTGCCTGTCCAATATAATGGCTTGGATCGCCGATCAAAAATAAGGGTTTGGATCTACACAAGCCCCGCCCGAAAAAAATTTCGCCGCCTAACCCCGCCCGGCCCATGGACAACCGTAGGGCCGTTGCCCTTCATCAACGGGTTCTGACTCTCCTGGAATTTCCTACTGTGATTCGATAATGGTAAGTCCTTCTCTCTCCTCGCCATTTTCCTTCCCTGTCTTTTCTTTGCCCTAAATTATTTTTCGGGAAAACATACTGATCATTTGTTCAATGTCTCCTTCAATTCATGATACTCTTTCAATTCAACGTTTAAATTCAGGTGTTTTCTTTTCAGCGGTGAATGACTAAGGAAGGAGCTTTGAAATGGTGGAAAACGTGAAATTAGGTCTTTTTTGACTCAGAATATCCTTAAATTTCCACAAGAAAACATATCTACTCCATCTCCTATGAAAATTTCTCAAAAATTGCTGTAATTTATCTCCATCTTATCAACCACCGACTGAAACCAGGTAGTTTTGATGTTTCAGAACAGAAACTGTTTCTTTTAATGTCTTGTTTTTTAACAATGATATATTTATCTCTTTTCCTTGCCTAGAAGGCATATAATATTGGGTAAACTGCGGCTTTGATCTCTAATGTACTATCTTGGTACCGTTAGCATTAGGGCTTTAGGCAGCTAAACCTAGCATAAAACTTTGTCAGATCCAATATGAACACGAGGATAGAATTAGAAATGAGTATATTTGTAAAACCGTGGAACTGCCACCCATAGGAGATAAATTAAGAGAGAATCAAGGTTGGTGGTTTGGACATGTTTATAGATCATCTCATAATGCACCGGTAAGAAAGTGCATGGTAATGCGAGAGCGCGATGAAGGAAATAGGAGTCATGTAGTCGGCCCCAATAATTAGTATTAAGGCTTTGTTGAGTTAAGAATCTGAACCTTACATTAGTTTTGAACCAGTGTTTCTATAGTCCTAACAAAATACATATTTGTTTTCTGAAGACGAAAGGCAATTCATAGATTATTTCGGGTTACTCTCTATATTGGGTTCGATCAATTTTGCCCATATGCATGGAAGAGAGGATTGTTCTTTCATCAGTAGACTGGCTGTAATTTAACTTATATTTTCTGCTCTCCTCTTTACAGCAGGTGTTGCAACCAGTTGGGTTCTGGTTCGGAATAAGATGCACCTTGAGTGTACTGGAAACCAATGGAAGATCCTCGTTCGGTAAATAGTCCGAGAAGGACCCTAAGTTTCACTAAGGATAGGAGGGCAACTGTGTCCTTTCCAGATTCAGATGATGGGGCTTCTGGGTTTGGTGTTTCTGGAGAGCATGGTCCAAAGCCTTCAGAAGTTTATGGGTTTGTAGGCTCCATTTCAACTGTTGTTGCTACAGGTGTACTTCTATCTTATGCTGTTTAATTTCTAGCAATGCTTGGTTGCTTTGGAAGTTACCCAGCTGAGTGAATTATGTAGGATGTGGAAACTACAGCGTTTGATTGCATCTTTGTGTATTGAGGTGGTGGGGAACAATTAAATTGTTTGATAAGAATATTTTAGATTGAAGGGCTGCTATATTATGGGATAAACAATTTCAATATCTCTCTAATCTAGGTTTTTGAATTCAAGCATGAATTTTTTTGTACCTTTGAATCTCCATAGCTGGTGCACTTGGGATCTGGAATCTATTCTTGCATGATACATACCATGCAGCGATGGAAAACTCTGAGTGAATGCCATTTCTCTAATCTTTTAATTGGAAAGTTGGACAAGCTGCACTGGTCTGATTCAATGATGAAATTGTTTCTATTTGACAACATATGATGGCTCAAATTTTCAATTGGTTTAATCCATATAATTAATTGCTAATCCAAATATCCAATGGAACCCGTTCGATGGAAGTTTACCCTAAAAAGCCCTAATTAACTATTACCAGAAATAAAGCATAAAAGATTTTTTGCATCGTAAATTAGTAAGTAGACTATGACTCCCAATCTACAATTTATGCTTTGTTCGATTTCTTCTCGTTACTCATCACTTGTACAATTCATTATTTTCTGTGAACAGTTATTTTCTTGGTATGGGCGTATGTTCCCGAGAGTTGGCTGCATTCTATTGGGATCTTTTACTACCCTAGCAGGTCGGTATGATGGATCCCTGTTCTTTCTTTTTAGTTCCTGAGCTTTAGTGGGTTACTGAGATCCTCTGCCATGTATTATATCCCTGTTCAATAATCAATCTTTGAAGTACTTTGTTAACGGATTATTCCTATATGCAAGCAAAACATATCTTCTTGCTAATCTTCCGAAGTTAGGATCTCTCATGTTTTTAATTCTGCGTTTGATTGCATGATGTTTAGAAGGCACCTGGTTGATTGTGCATGATTTGATCAAATTGGGACATAATGGAGTTCAGTTAGAAGAAACTGGAAAAATAGCATGCTCTATATGTAGTGTCAACCAATAGGCGAAATTTTAAATTCGGATTTTGAAATTTTGTGGAATTCAGTGAAAGGTGAACCAATCAGAGAACAAATCTGAGAAACTGGCAGTTCGAATCTGATAACTTGAATAAATCCAGATTCATGTCATTTGTGAATCGACCTGTGTGGATGTGGTTGATATTCTATTCTATCTACAGCCCCTCTCTTATGGCTTGGCATTGAATTTATTTAGTGCTATTACGTCAGTAGAATGTTGCTTACACTTTCAGGTATTGGGCATTAGCAATCCCAACTTATGCCATGGTGACGATAGTATTGGCAATTGGATTTTATGTTGGCCTCAACTTCTTGGCAACCCCTCCTCCAACGTCATACACCACAATTTTTGGTAAGCTTTTAAGTTCCGTTTCTAGGGATATATGCTTGGATTTTCGAACGATTCTACTTGTTTTTGGTGAAATTTGTCCAGATTGATACTCTTTTTGCCGACTTGAGGCTAAAATTGTGATGCATTTAGTTATGCAGATGGTTTTGAATCTGTTCGATATCTCAATTCTTTATGTTTTTATTACCTCCTCCGTTTTGCAGATGAATTCAGCAGAGAGCCTTCAAGCTTTATCTCTTCATCAGAGGAAAATGATCAACCCATTGAACCCATTGCTGATATTGGCATCAACCAAATCAATGACCTCATGTTTAATGATTTGAAGTGACACTTCAACCTTGCTCTGTAATTCTGACCTTATGCATAACCGGGAGATTTGAGCTTTGCAAATTTCTTGACGGTGCTGAAATAACTAGACGTTGGCAATCGCCAGTGGACGTTGTGGCTATCTTAGAATTAATCATCAATTTCAGAGCCTGCGCTGTGGAATTCCAACCTTGTTTAACTTTTACCTTATCAAAACTTCTTTACTGAGGTTCTTATAATGTTGAGATTTTAGTTCCTTTAGTCTCCTAATTCACAGTATCCCTTTACAGCTAACCTGTTTTATCCTCTCCACATATGCCAATGGGTGAAAAATCTCTCTTCAGAAGTGTGCTTTGAGCCTTTTATGTGCCTGCACAGGAGTCTCAAACTTTCATTTATTAATTTGATACTTTTCAAAGAACCCAACTCAGATTCTTTTAGGAACACTATTCTTCCAGGCATTTACCAAACCAATTGCAATTAAGTTATTCGAACCTACTTTCGGCTACCTACTGTGGCTAGATCTAATTAGATTTGTTCTGTCCTTGCTCTCTTCTTTCCTATTAACTAGTTGGTAGTTCCTCTTTCAATAGATTGTAGTTTTTATAGCAATGGCTCTCGGCCCGAAAGTTAATAAAAAATGAGTCTCTCTCGGATTTCACTCAAGAAGAAAACTCTTGTGTGCTCTTTTGATGTTCTTGATATGAAAGTGAAAGTTGGCCTTAAGTAGGATTCAAAGACGTTTAAGTCCAATTCCAATCTTGATATAAAAATAAAGTTTCATCGTTGAATGTGATATCTCTTTTAATCCGGTTTTCTTTTCTCTTTTGAGTCAGGTTCTTAAGACAAGAAATCAAATTTTTTGAATGTCTCTCTTTTGGCCTATTTAAGTTTGTTCGAGATCAAAACTAGACCTAAGAGAGACTAGACTTCAATTGGGCAGGCCTTCACTGCAAGAAGGTATAAACTGTTGGGTATCATATACGGTTGCCCGCGAGAGGCTTGACAAAAAAAAAATTTATTTGGTAAGGTGTTGGTTCGGTCGGGAGGTCGAGGTCACTCATCACGAAAACGAACGTACGGTAGTTCCTTTAGTATGCTAATTCACAGTATCACTTCACAGCTAACCTGTTTTAATCCTCTCCACATTATGCCTAGGGGGGAAAAATCTCTCTTCAGAAACGTGCTTTGAGCATTTTATGTGCCTGCACAGAAGTCTCAAACCTTCATTTATTTGTGTTACTTTTCACAGAAGCTAATCCAGAGTCTTTAAAGAACACTATCCTCCCAGAGATGTGAGTTAGTTCAATCTGCTGCTAAGAATTATGTTCTGGCTTTCATCCTGCATGACCAGAATCTGTTTAACCTGATCGGTTTCTCAGGCAACACCCCCGAGTCTCCAGAAAACTTGGATTTTACGCTACGTAGATATCGCATCTCACTATAAATTACCATTAATCTCTAAATTTTTGAGATATCGAGCAAATACATAAAAATCCAAACTGAAACAAAATACCAAACTGAAACAACAGATTAACAAAATATGATATCATTCTCCTTAATGGTATCCAGAATAATCCCAAGCCTGCCTTCAATACGCTCATCTTTCCTGGGCTCATATGACATTGCAAATACATCAGCTTCTTTTGATCGTTCAGCAATCAGCTTGCCTATAACTCTGCAGGCATTATTATCGGTGAGGGATGGTAATGTGTTCCTTAGATCTTTGGAATTCGTGGTTGCCACTGATATCACCTTGCTTGTTCCGCGATGCATCACTTTTGCATGGATAAATCGCTTTGAAAAGAAAACATTTAGTAGAAATGGTCTCATGTACATATCCGTCCTTTGCTTCCATGATTTTCTGTTAGGTTTCTTTGCAGCTTCACCTCGAGATCTCCGTGTCCATGCAGCTTGAACAACAAATCCCTGCTGTACATGCAGCAGAAATTGGGTTCTCTATCTTGCTTTACGTTTCAAAATTACATAAGAAGTGTGCATCAGAAGATAAAATCACTAATGAGTCGAGGAACTCTGACTTCACCATGCTCTATACCTTACAAATGAATATTGAACACTTCCAAAATAGGAACTAAGCTTTAAAAAAAATTATTCAGTACGGCATTGTATCTTGGGCTAATCATAGAAACAAAGGAAAACTGAGGCTCGTTTCACATTGGACTAGGAGTGCATTCAGAAGCAGCCATAAGATAAAGGCACTTAAAGTTGCAAATTCTTTGCAAGATCAAACAAAGAATAGCTATGCAATCTGTCAGAGATCATTTTTGAACATTCTCATTGACAAGAGCACATGCCACCTTAACTATAGTAAATTGCACCTGCTCAAGTGGTAAAAACTAAATTAAATTTGACTTGAAATGGCCAATACAGCTAATAATCTCTACAAGTTGCTTCTGTATATATAGCAGACAGTAACAAGCACCATTAAAGGCTACATAAGGCAAAAAAAGCTTTTGATACCACCGAAACCAGCTAAAAACAATTTGATACTACAGTAACTTCTCAATTGGGTCCCACACGGAAGAAAACAGTTTCAATATGACTTTTCTAGGCTGGCATGAAAAAAAGACGTAGATAGAAGAATTTCCGGTAGCCCGACTGAAATGAACTTGTGAGGCAAAGAAAAGGTGAAGGGAAAGAAACACAAGTTTGTTGAAGAGGAAGATACACAGGTAAAGGTCGAGGCGAAAGTATGAGTGTAGCTTTATTCTAGTTACTTCTTTTTCAGGTTGAGAAATAGTACTGTGCAAGGCTTTACAAGCAGAATTACGATTTTGCATTACGGATTCTTTCAGCATAAAAATAGGTTGACGCTCCTTAATTGTAAGTAAGCATGTAAAAAGAAGCTCCTGCAAATGGAAAAACTTGATGAATGCTTACCTCTGCAGATTTTTACCTTGATAAATTATACCAAAGACATGGTAACTTCCACCACATTAAAAAGCGACACTATAACAATTAGTTCCCTTTTGAGTAGTTAATGATGATAGGCTCTACTCCAAGACAGACTGTACAAGCAACCTACTCTATTCAAGTTGGTCATTCAACTAATGCCTTCCTTCACCAAGAGGAGTGAAAGACAGGGAACGGAGGGGAGTGAGGAAAGAATATTCATGGCCCTCCCCAGGGAAAGTAGGTATCATCAAGTACATCATCCCCAGAATCTTATATTATTCTAGTTTACAAGGTTTACCCACTAAAATATACTTGGGGTTAACAATAATAGCAGCAGTAAAGATGAATCTCATTTCGTCTCAGTTAACTGAGAAAGTTTGTGTTTCAAGCTTGAGATTATGGAGGGGGTTTCCACAGCCATCACAACAATGGCCCCGTCTAGAATGTGATTCACAAAATACAATTTTTATCTCGATCAGCTTATCTTTTCCTACTAAGCACCATTCATATATTTCATGTAATTCATTTGCATAGACACATTCAAACTGCAATGGATATAACTTACATTTATAATCTATTTTTCTTCAGGTCATCAATTTGGCTTAAGCAACAAATTCTAGTCAGGTTACTGAACATGTGAAATACAAAACGCCAAATTCATCCTGATTTCTAACTAGCTAAACAAGAACTGTTTGAATTAGGCCAAAATTGATAAGCACCTGGCTCAAGATACTTCCACAATTTCCTAAACCAAAAAGTTTTTACCAAACTCCACAGGATTATTCAAAGTTATTAAAACAGCTCTGATTTCATAGGGTCATATTGTATACTACGTGCAATTTCTAAATAATTATAATGTTCCCAAGTTGATATTGCGAAAGCTTACATATATGTATCATTCGAATACTTTGCTGATTGCAAATTTTCTACTTCGAGTACCTGTTTCATCACTTCTACTTCACAAGAGTAGGGGACCAAGTACATGGTATAAATCCCTCATGCTGAATAAGCTGGTTACCACATTTATAACCACAATCAGCATGACCAATATGCTCCAAATGACATATTATTATTATTATTATTTATTTTTATTTATGATGAAGGCGAATGCATTCCTAAAATGGCACATTGTGATTGTCTTTATTCTTTATTCCAGAAGCAACTGATTTAGCCCATGTAAATAGGCTCCCAACATTACAAAGCAATAGACACATATTGGGTTGTCATTTCTATCAAATAAACATCACAAAACAAGATTTTTTATCTGTAATTATCATGTAATACATGTCTGCCAATATATAGTTGTAAATCATTTATCCATATATAAAGACACTTACTCAATTCTACATCATGATAAACTCAGAGAAAGGGATTTGCTAAGAGAACATTGATATCTCCAATTATTTTCAAAATAAACCAGAATTAAGTGTAGGATGAAAAAAGAACAAGGGTTGCAGGAAATGGGTAGTTTACAAGTAATTACAGTAACGCAAAATTGGAGACATGGGTGAGCTAGAGCAGCAAATGAGGTATCAATTGTAAATAGAAAACAAGCTAAAACAAAAAGTAAGATATTGAGAATAGGGCTCTAGGAATTGGGTAATTTTACATACCAGGTTCAAAGTGATATTTGAAGGGCTTGAGATTGAATTGATGGATAGGTTCAGCTGAGGAAATGAGGAAGACCATGAGAGCGAAGTGGGTTTCTCTCTGCGAATTGGAAAAACTACAGAGGATTGAAGAAAAGTTGAAGGTGTTGGCGAAGATATGCAAGCGGTCATCTTTGCTAGAACGTGAGTTTCACTGAGAAGAAGAGCAAAGACAGAGATACCATAAGGGGGGAATCACACTTTACACCACCTAAGAGATTTCATAAATTTTCAATTTATACCCTTAATAATTATATTTTTTACATTATACCCTCGATAACAAATCGCCATGCTTGAACAATCTTACCTCACCACCGAGTTGGTGGTCCAGTGGTTTAAAGTACTCCGATTAGAGCTTGTTTAGATGAATTTTGGGAACAGATTTAGAGTGTGTTAGGAATAATTTATTGAATTTAAAAGTACTTCTTGAATAATTACGTTTAAAAAAATACTTTATTAAAATTTTTTTTTTCCATAAGCATCGTTTGGATGCTCATTAAATAAAGTACTTAAATAAAATGATTTTACAAAAATTGTGTTTGGATGATCAATTAAAAAAGTATTTATTTGTATCATAATTACAAATATGCCCTTCATAATCAAATATTTATATGTGCGTGTTTGCATGTATTTTGTTAAAAATGTCAATGATTATCCCATGATACATTTTTAGTGGTAATTTATCAAATATTTACATAAATTCACAAAAATAAAAAGGTAACAATGGAATATCAGTGATATGAAGACATGATCAAACAATTCACACTCGAACTAGCACTCTAATTGATTGTCACTACAATGAAGGTTTTTTTTTTTTGACACCTTTGCGACTACATTCATTGTATCATAATAAGTAACAACTCAAAAAGTATTGCAATGACAAATCTTCATCACAAATATTTTTACGACGACATTACTTATCTCTTATACTCCCCCATCTAAGCGATACAATTTTCCTAATGAACCCAAGTGTAAGCTTGGAGTTCAAATCTATGAATTTCTTCATCACTCATGTCTAAGCTTCTATTATTTGATACAAATATTTTTTTTTTAAATAAATCAACACTTTATTTTATTACTTAAAAATTATTTACAATGGAATAAAAGGCAAACAAACCCTGCCTTAACAAGACTTCAACCCAAAATGAATAAAAGAAGCAAAGAGACTTTACAAAAGAATCAAAAAATAAGTCTCTCATAACAGGCAGTCTGCTCATTGAACCAACATCATTAACTTGCTCCTCTTTACAAAGATGAGATTCAATATTCAATTTGATTCATACCCATATTTGGTATATAATACATACACATGTAGGATCCATAAATATTCATAATTATTAACAACTATTTGTTTTATAAATGATTATTTTACCCTTGATTATCTAATTCATACACATGTTAAGGAGTACAATTGTCTTCTGTATTCTTAACCCATATTCCCAAACTCACCCTCTCCTTAAGTTTGACATAACTCATGATCATGAGTTTAATTTTCGGACCAATTACGATCTGGGTTTAAGAACCAGGGATTGAATTTTCAATCCAAATATGGGATTCGAGGGTCCTTTAGACTATTTTTCTCAAATCTATCTTGTCAAACCCTCTCATACCCTTTTATCAAATGACCCCTTAGGCCCTATTTAGTATGTGGGACAAGGAGGGATTTGGAAGATGCGTTGTGAATAAAAGTCCACAAAATCCATTAAACTCATGTTTGACAACTATATTTCTAACTCAGATTATCAAATCCAACCCGTTTTAGGCCCGCAATTTAAACCTATGTTCATGGGTTTCATGAAACCCGGTGGGTGGTATATGGGGTTAAAGGGTTAAACATATAAAATAACTCATATACCCCAAATAATAAAATATTAAAATCATAAGGATACAAGAAAATATACGTACACAAACATGAGTTTAGATTAGATTGATTAAGGCGCACAATAATTATTTATATTCAAATATATTATCGTAATAGTGATTTGTCTGTGCACATACCAAACATGGATATGAACTAGGTTGAATGTTGAATATCATATTTATAAAGAGGGGTTTGAATTTGAAAGGGTTCAGACAAGTCAATTCAAACCCCTCCTAAAAAACCAACCGAACAGGCTTTTATAGTTCTCCTTAACTCCAATAAGATTAACACACAGAGTTCAATTTCCAAGATTTTAGTTTAATGATATTACTTATCTTATAAAAATTTTAGCTTCTTGAAATTAAGGTTTCAATTTCTCTTCCCCTCCCCCTCCCAAAAAATAAAGGGAATTGATGTTGTTTACATTGACAAATTTGTAGTGTAGATTAGACAAAGATTCAAATTGACCTTTAAGAACACCTGCGATTTCCAACCGTCTCTAGATCTCTAACTGGTGGGCTTCTCTCATTGGTTCGAACTGTTAAATTAGATCTCAATAACACAACTAGACAAGAGGTCCACCTCGTTGACCCTTCAGACACTTTTTCCGCTTCAATAAAAAAAAGCAGTAACACACATACCTCAATAAGAACAAATTAGATCTCAACATAGCCTTGTTTTCATTTTGATTTTTTTTTCTTTTTCTAATGTTTTGAAAATTTTGGATTTTATTCACCCAAAAAATGAAAAATAAATACCAGTTTGAGAGGAGAGTATTCTCTTCTCACTCCAAGTTTTTGAGCTTTTGATAATTTTACTTGTGGTTTTTCCTAAAAACACTTATGTTTCCAATTTCTGGCAGTAAATTTTTTTTTTCGGGGTCAATTATCAAATTTGAGTGGGGATATTTTCTAGACATAATTAAAATTTCATGGACTTCACATTAGGATTTAAATTAGTACTTTTGCATTTTTCATGTTTCTTATCTATTTTTCGAGAAAGTAAGCGACATTTGAATCTCATGTAATAGACTTTTCTTTTAAATTTTTATTTAAAGTTAGATTACTTATCATTAATCAAATGGGATCATTTATGTTCAAGTGTGTCCATCATTAATATACCTTGGATACTATAGCATTGAAAAAACTTATGACAAGTTTATTAAAGAATAACTCAAAGACGAGGGTAGATTAGGGAAATCAAGAGCCTTGAGTCCACTATCCTTTAGCATTGTATTATTTGATAATTGATTTATCTGGAGTCAAGATAGATCCTAAGAATACGAAATCTGTTCGGCATTACTAATTACCACTGTACTAAAGATTCATAAAAAAGTATTGCTAGTTGACTTTACTCGGGCCAGAGAAGAAACAAACTTTCAATGGGGAGAGGGTTTGGAGCATGGGTTTCGAGCATTTAAGGAGAAAGTTTGCGAAGCACCGACTCTGGCCATATTCTTTACATAAGTATTTTTTTAAGTAATATTTGCGTTTATATTTATTTTGTTTTTGATTTAAATCCAAGTTTACTCTCTTCATCCAAGCTTAATCACAAGCATAAATATTATACATATAAATATGTATATAAATTATTGATGTAAAATAATAGTCAAATATATTTTCTGGTTTTCTAATAAAATTATTTTTTCTACTTAAAAGAAAATTACCAATCAGTTAGAGTCAAGTTTTTGTTGGGAAGCCCACAGGTTGAATGCTATTACTTGATTGCAAAAAGGCCCACCCAAACCGAAATAGGATTGACTGGACATGAATGGGCTTCATGGGCCAACGACTTTTTGACTTTCAACTTATGGCTCATTCTCAATGGGGATGAATGGATGATGACAATTGGCCCGATAAATCTAAACACAATTTGCAAATTCGACATCATATTGATAAAAAAAATTAGTAGGTTTAAATTTAATACTAACGGGTTCGATTAATAAACAAGTAGATATATGTTAAGCGCATCAAATAAATAAGTCAGCATGAACCTGACTAAACATGACACGAACTAACTAAACACAATTTACACGCAACAACTAGATAAGATTATAAGTGAGTCAGGTATAAATCGACAAGTTTCGACACGTCATAACTTAGACACGATACGAACACGACACGCAGGGGCGGATCTATGTGTGGGCCGGGGGGCACTAGCCCACTATTAAATTTTTTTCTTAATTATATATATATATATATATATATATATATATATATATATATATGTGTGTGTGTGTGTTATTTAATTATTTACTTTGATATTATTTGTTGTGTCCACCCTTGAATCGACTTTAATTTGTATATTTATATGTTCCTTTGATTGTAAATTCATAATTTGAAGGTGAAATTGTTTGCAATTGACCTACTGATCTCTTTTTGTTTAAAATTGACGATTTACTTGTTTCAATTGGATTCCAATGATATTATTACCATTACTTCTTAAGTCTTTGTTTAATAGCTTTACAATTTTATTGTAAAAATATAAAGACGTCAAGATCAATTATAAATAGATGTAATACGCACTTTAGTAAAAGTTGAAATCAATTTTTTTTATTTTTTTTAGTTTTTTTCGTCATACAAGATATGTATCAACTTTTGATCATTTTCGATTTAACGAGTTTTTTTTAAGATATATGACATTGTCATATCTCTCTATATACGTATAAATCAAGTGTAATTGTCGGTTAACGTCAATATAATAATTTGGTAAATAGTAATATTGTTTGATAATGACTTTTTTCGTTTGCAATAAAAATTTTTTGACACTAAGCTTTTAAAATATTTTTTTGTGGGCGGTTTAAATTTTAATAGAGTTTAAATATGTGATTTATGCTATTTTATTAACATATATAAAATATAGTGTCATTTTTGTGAAAACACAAAAATTATTAATTTTTTTATGTTAGAACCGACCTTAGTTAAAGTGTCCGTACCTAAAACAATTACTGCCTCCGCCCTGTCGACACAACACTTTTGTCAAAAAACAAAAAAAAAAACATATTTATTACTGTTGTATACCTCAGATTGAGGGCGAGTTTGGATTTTTTTATCGGCATTCAATGTTCCTTTACAAAAATTCAGACCCTGTCCTTTTTTAGAGGAACTGTTCATAAATGAGTATAGTATTATCGGATTCGGCTAATAAATAGGTAGATTTATTGAACCTATCAAATAAATAAGTAAGAACAAATCCGACTAAACATGACGCGAGCTCGCTATATATAATTTACGCACAACAATTATATATGATTATAAATGAGTGAAATATGTCTTGACACGTCATAAATTAGGTACGGCACAAACCTGACCCAACAATTTAGACGTGT